CATTTCCTTGCATAATCTTATCTAAAATTATTGAAAATTATCATAATTTATGGGTATTGTTTTAACATGATACACCAAAGCCGAATTTTGTATGTTTGCATTATACACTTGCACTGTTTGGATTAACGTATCAATTAGAAGGTAGGTTAGAAAATCACTAAAAAAGAATTAAAGGACAAAACGCCATTATATGGTTTTCCGCATAATGTTTTTTTTTTGGCAAATATTAAAAAAAAATCTTAAACTTTTACATATACATAACATTTTAGGTAAACACCTAGAGTTACATATATACCAGCATACATTTTTGATAGGAAAAAAATGCTATCAAAGATACTTCAGAAATGCCTAGCTCCATGCCTAAGAAATATACATCTTTTTTATTGTTCACATTTATTTAACCTCCATTCAACAATGGGAAGGAACATTTGCCTCAGCTGTGAAATGAATTGATTTAAAACGACTTTTAACATATTTACTTCTGTCTTGTCAATATCTTAGCATAGAATATGATCAGAATATGGTCTGTGTATAAAACAAGTATACCGCTGTAATAAAAGCACTAGACAATTTAAACATGTAAATATATGCTACTTCCAACAGAATTTTGTTTTGTTTTTAGTTTTTAATTATTTTTTTTTCATTATCGTTTATTTTTTAACCACTAAATTTGCGGTTTTGTGATATGTTCGTGCAGTTTTAACAATGTCGTCAATAGTGTTCAGAAAGAAGCTATTATAAAATGTGTCAGAACCTTAAATTACACATACATGAACGGAGCTATGATACCATGACAGGTGTACATATGATGTAATTGTGAAATAGCCATTGTAATTGCCAAGTTTTTGATAGTTTAAGGATCATTTTTGATTAGTGGCACGTGCCATCGAATTCAATCTTTATTGACAGAAAATATTAAATAACGAATACATTTATTACTATTATAGGAAGAAAAAGACGAAGAAGAATTATTTGCTATAGTGCAACTTGAATAAACAAATAAATACATAATTATTTTATGTTAAATAAAATTGTTATTAAAATGAAAGAAAGGATTAACGCATTTACAAGGATATATACTCGATGCTGAACTTAAATTAGGTTGTATTGTTTTAACGAAAACTTCTATGAGGATCTGGAGGGGGTCCTTTATTTCTGTATTCTTTAATTTTTTATGACGATTTTCTCTATTCTTTAAACTTTTTGTCTATTATTATCAATTCTTTATATTCAAGCACCTTATTATTCTCTATTCTTTATTTTTTTTTATCCATTTTCTCTATTCTTTATATTTATTGCCACTCATTCTCTATTCTGTAACCTCCTCCCCGCCCCCTCCCATCAACATCCTCTTCTTTCCGATGGTATGTTATTTATAGTTTTATTGTCTCGTCACGGTCTAAGTGCAGTTTTCAGAATATTAACTGCACTCGGAGACATGGTTCCCTGATGCGGCCTTGGTGACTACGCATCACTACGAAATAAAAGCAAAAAAAAAAAAAGAAGACGGTTGTCCAAATATAAAAAGAATAACACGTACGGGGAATGATTACTAAATGCCACGAAGTAATTATTAAGTTTTAGAGGAAAGTATCGAAAGATAACGAAATTAACGATATAAATTATCTGACATAAAACATATTTGTATTTACGTTGATCGTTCCCGATGAAGTTAAATCCAGAAACGTGCTTCAGACGCATGAAATTTATAAGGTGTTTTCACTCTTTTGATAATGTTATGTTTAAAATTTGCAATTACTTCTTTTCAAAGAATAAGTAGATAAATACCTAAATTAACATCAGAAAATAAAAAATAGTATAAAATCATAAACAGTTATAGGCGAATAAGTTATTTCCTCAACAAAACAAAATCACGAATCTCTTAAAAAAAGACCAACAGAAATAAAAAGTCAACCAATGATTTTATGTTTAATTATTAAAAATATACGTTTTTCATTCTAGCATTTATATTGTAATTTTTTCATAATTAAAATGTATCATCCACATGAAGGGGCGTAACTCCTAATATCATTCTGACACACTAAACGGATCTTAACCCGATCTGAAAATTTTGAACATTACTTTTTATGTTTGGTCTGAATTCGTCTAAAACCGTCTTAACATATCTTGTTAACAGCTAGAGCCTTCTGTCTTGTTTATCTTGACATGAATGAACGGACTGAACACGACATATCTGAACAGCGTCTGAAAGTCTTAAAAAGTCTTAACGTTTTTCCCTAGCGGTAAATTCAGTTGATTCAGACTTGATCAGACCAAAATGACCGTTTCAGACTGAAATCTTGCTACTAGTGTTTTGAGCAACGGAAAATTCCAACAGGGACCCATTACAGCTATTTGATGCATGGCTCCATTTTAAGAACGAAAGGACATTTCCAATTATAAATATTATAAAAATAGATTTATGCGACGACTGTAATCAGATAAGGGTAAATAACACAAACGATAGCGAATAAAAGCGTTAGGAACTCATGGTTTTGGCACATAATTGGGTTTTCCTTTGAATTAATTGAGTTATTGAACCCTGGGCAATTGCATTGGGTTTTTAATTATTTGTATTGCGTGATCACGCAAATATGAAGCTTATCTGGAGCTCTGGTCGATAGACCATAACTGAGGGGGCAGGGCCAAATAATCTCCATGGTAATGAGATGTGCCAATACTAATACAACTGCATACCAAATATCTTTGACTTACCACTAATTCAGTCAGGGGTACTACTTATACAAGTGTATTTTTTTTACTTCTATAAGTAAAAAAAAAACAATGTGTTTGCATGTATATTTTTTACTTATACAAGTAATTTTTTTTTACCTATACAAGTAAAAAAAAATTGAGTAAGAGTTGTCTTCCCTTCATAGTAAACACATTTGTTAATGTTTTTTTTACTTATATAAGTAAATTTTATTTGGCAATGTTGTTGTATAAAATTGAGACTTAAGCCTGTATTATTGTTTGAATTGTCTCCCCTAAAAATCAAGGAAAATAAACACAGCCATTGATTTCAATTTTTAATTCAACTATAATCAACAAATAAGTGAACACGGTATTGGCATAGTATAGTTTTCAAACATTTCTGACTAATGATATTAGAATGCAATGTAAATGAAATAAGCCAAATCATGTTTCCTAATTACATTAAATACAAGCAATATTTTATATTATTTTATTCTACTGTTTTTTTGCACAATATTATAAACCAAAATTATAAAATTACGTAAAATGTTTTGTAATGGAAAGAAAATAAGTATACCAAATTAAATGGCAATAAAAGATACATATTACACAGTTAAATGTATTAATAAATGATGCACAAAAAACTAGACACCTGACTAGCAGTCACGACAGTTCAAATGAATAACCAACACTATTTTCAGACTAGATAATACATGTAATAATGACCAAATTGTACACATGTAAAAATATAAAAAAATTATGTGTAACTCAATTCACAAACATGACAAACCTCAAAGGAATCTGTAATATGTTTGTCTTTTTCCAAAAACCATTTTATATATATGATTTAAAGCCATCTTTTCTTGTATTATTTCAATAATCTCTGGAATATTTAGTTTTCTTGCATTGCTTAAAAAACAGTATTAAAAACTGACAAGACTGTGAAGGGAATTTTATATTAGTGTTAAATTGTGTGATTATATTATTCTGAAAAGGAAACCTAGATCTCTGTAGTTATAAAGTGCTTTAAAAAATAAATTCTATCAGTAATAAGTATGTCATATTAAAGTGGAAAAATACACATAATATTCTCATGCATTTGTCATGAACAGATTCTAATATACATTTTGTACAATCATGAAAATGTAATGTAAAACTAAATACACATATTTAAATAACCCTTAAAGCTTCATTAACATTGAATAACACCAAATTATGTCAATTCTTTAGTTCAAAATTTCATAATGAGAACAAGATCAACTTGATAAATTCTTTTACTATTAATAGAAAATTTGTAAGAAAAAAACCCAACCTTTTTGTGATTTAAAATCTAAGGATAGTTAATATTGGATGCAAAAGTAGAAATATAAATATTCTCAATTTGGCAATGATATACATGATATATATATATATAAAAGACATTTCAATGATAAAAATTGAATCCCCAAGACTATTAGCAAAAGATATTTATTGGAGTACACTAAAATCCCAATAATTTTGAAATATGAGCTTGACATGGTAGAATATACATAAAAATTAATCAAGACAAAACAAATCACAAGTTCTTGAACTAATAAAAGTGGAGCACATTGCATTTGCACATTTGCACCAATTTATAAAAAAATGCAGTTTTTCATTTGCGCCAAAATATACTACTTTCATGGGACTTCTGCAACTTTCACAGATAACACATGTCAGAAAAGTTGAAATATACATTTCCTCTGAATTAAAAGCTCAGATAAGAAATTTTAATATATTTTTCTCCTTGTGATAAAGTATTAAGTTTGTACTCAAATAAAACTGAGTCATGGACTTTTAAAATTATGTACTGTAGTGTTTCCATGATTGTTGTAAAAAGATGTATATTATTCAGTTGAAGATGTTCAAACAGACCCTTAACACCTTTTCAAAAAAATTTTTTTTTTAAATCTAGATAGGGTGCCTCCCCCCTGACAAATGCCTGAGGTCCCACCTAGATATGCCTCTTAATTTCAAGTTGACTGGATTTCAATTAATTTATTCAATAAAAAACTCAATGATGCTATACATATATTTATAGTATCTGCCTGTGTTATTGGTGTTAATGAAAGTTATGTAATTCAGCACAAATGAAATATGGTCATTATTTTTGGCGCAAATGAATTGCTAATTTGGCCAAATGTGATAGGTGTTAACTTTTGAGACAACAGATGCCAAGTGAAATGAATGTTTTAACTAAACACACACCAGAAACCAGGGGTACTAAAGGCATATAATAAACATAATAAATGTCAATATGTGGTATATCCCCCCCCCCCCCTTTCCCCCCCCAAAAGAAGACAAAAGTTAATGACACTCAAAATTCAACAAATTTATATGAAAACTGGGAACCACCTAATTGAACCAAGTCTGTCTGACAGTCAGGTGGTTGTAAAGATTTAATAATGTCCTTTTCCATGATGAAATACTTTATTTCATCTAAAGCCCAGCTTGCACCTTTTCTTCTAAAAAACTGGCCCCATACACCAGAATCATCTATGTCAGTAACCTGAATAAAATGCTCCGCTGGGGCGCAGCTTGATACGACCGCAGAGGTCGAACCCTGAACAGTTGGGGCAAGTATGGACACAACATTCAAGCTTGATACAGCACTGAATTTGGATTGTAATTAAATATTTGACACAGCATAGGTTTCTGACACAGAATGAAAGTGGTCTAAGAACTTAAAAATTTTCAATTTACCTATTCATACATGTGATGGACTGTGAAACTCAGATCAGGAGATTGGGAAATTTTGGTCAGGAGATTAGGACTCAGATCAGGAGGTTTTTAATCGACATTAATTTTGTTGTAAATGTAACCGTGTGCTGTAAAAATGGTCTTTTAAAGTGTGTTTTCTTCAACTTTCCATCCAATTTATTATGTTTATAGTACCCTTGTACTTATAAAGTTTCTTCATCTTTATATTCTACATGTTCAATCTAACATTGTTTTTTTCCAGTATGTTCTTTAAATTTTTTACTTCATATTCTATAAAACAATCATTGCAACCAGAACATTTGTTTAGCTATCTGCAAATAGTTTTTATTTTTTTTTTTTTTCTCTTGCAATTAGTTTTTATTTGCAAACTCAGAAAATCATTCCATTTGTAATATTAGGGTCATAGTTAATATATAAATTTCAATTTAAGCCTTGAAAGGAAGTATAGAATCCTCAAATAATTTTCAAATTATTATTTTTTTATTTGTCCTAAGACATTTAAAATCATTTAATAACCATCCTTTTATGATTATTTGTTCAATTTATATTTTATTTATATTCTTTTAAAATTTTCATTATTAAAAGGAAAGTAACTTAAAACAGGATAAATCAAGGGAAGTAACCCAATAAATACACAGTTTTTGTTACACAACGGCAGTTAGCCTGAGGTAAAAATCGTTGATTACCAGTATGTTTGACACCCAAGCTGACAAGTGAAGCCATATAATTATGCATGTTAATTGATTTACAGGTAAAATATGACTTCAGGTAATGTCAGTTACACCAGATGCCTGAGATGATATGTTGGGAAGAAATTTTTCATTCATGAAAAATTTCATACACGGGATTTTTTCCTCTTCAACGGGAGGTCGGGAGGAGACCCCTGAAAACGGGATTATTGTACTCCCGTCGGGAGGTTCACATGTATGCCTATTCAAACCATATCATTATTATTTGCTTTTATATATAAATCAGAAATAACCAATTTAAAATGGAAAATGTTAAAGAAAAAAAAGGAAAAAAAAAATCCCCCCCAATTTTTTTAACCCCCTTATGATTCATCACCCCCAAACTCAATCCCAGCTTTCCCTTTGTGGTATGGTACCTTGCAGTACAATTTCAGAGAGATTCATACACTTGAACACAAGTTATTGTCTGGAAACTAGAAAAATGCTTGTTTTTTGGCCCCTTTTTGGCCCCAAATTCCTAAACGTTTAGGGCAAGTACCCCCAAACTCAATTCCAGCTTTCCCTTTGTGATATGGAACCTTGCAGTACAATTTCATAAAGATCCATACACTTACACACAAGTTATTGTCCTGAAACTAGAAAAATGCATGTTTTTTTTGCCCTTTTATGGCCCCTTATTACTAAAATTTTGAGGGAAAACCCCCAAAATCAATCCCAGCCTTCCCTTTGTGATATGGAACCTTGTAGTACAATTTCATAAAGATCCATACACTTACAAACAAGTTATTGTCATGAAACTAGAAAAATGCTTGTTTTTTGCCCCTTTTTGGCCCCTAATTCCTAAAATTTGGAGGCAATTACCCCCAAAATCAATCCCAGCATTCCCTTTGTGATATGGAACCTTGTGGTACAATGTCAGAGAGATCCATACACTTACACACAAGTTATGTCTGGAAGTTACAAAAATGCTTATTTTTGGCCCCTTTTGGCCCCTAATTCCTTAACTGTTAGTACCATAACCCCCAAAATCAATCCCCACCTTCCTTTTGTGGTATTGAACCTTATGGTAAAATTTCATTGAGATCCATTCACTTAAACTAAAGTTAGAGTGCGAAAACTAATGTGTATTCGGACGACAACGCCGGACGACGACGACGCCGGACGACGACGACGACGACGACGATGACGACGACGACGACGACGCCAACGTCATACCAATATACGACCACAAAAATTTTTTTGCGGTGGTTTGTATGTATTTCCCATAGGGTCCCATGTTAAACTAAGTCCCCCGCTGGCATCCATCTTGGATTATGGATCGGCTTCAAAGTAACAACACTCGGTCAGCACCTCATAAAGAACATTCATACCATGTTTGGTTTCATTCCATTCAGTGGTTCTCTAAAAGAAGACATTTGTATGTATTTCCCTTAGGGTCCTATGTTAAACTAAGTCCCCCGCTGGCGGCCATCTTGGATTATGGATCGGCTTCAAAGTAACAACACTCGGTCAGCACCTCATAAGAAACATTCATGCCATGTTTGGTTTCATTCCATTCCAGTGGTTCTCTAAAAGAAGACATTTGTATGTATTTCCCATAGGGTCCTATGTTAAACTAAGTCCCCCGCTGGCGGCCATCTTGGATTATGGATCGGCTTCAAAGTAACAACACTCAGTCAGCACCTCATAAGGAACATTCATACCGTGTTTGGTTTCATTCCATTCAGTGGTTCTCTAAAAGAAGACATTTGTATGTATTTCCCATAGGGTCCTATGTTAAACTAAGTCCCCCGCTGGCGGCCATCTTGGATTATGGATCGGCTTCAAAGTAACAACACTCGGTCAGCACCTCATAAGGAACATTCATACCATGTTTGGTTTCATTCCGTTCAGTGGTTCTATAAAAGAAGACATTTGTATGTATTTCCCATTGGGTCCTATGTTAAACTAAGTCCCTCACTGGCGACCATCTTGGATGATGGAACAGCTACAAAGTAACAACACTTGGTCAGCACCTTGTAAGGAACATTCATGCTATGTTTTGTTACATTCCATTCAGTGGTTCTCTAAAAGAAGTCATTTGTATGCATTTCCCATAGGGTCCTATGTTAAACTAAGTCCCCTGCTGGCGGCCATCTTGGATGATGGATCGGCTACAAAGTAACAACAATTGGTCAGCACCTCCTAATGAACATTCATGCTATGTTTTGTTTCATTCCATTCAGTGGTTCTCTAAAAGAAGTCATTTGTATGCATTTCCCATAGGGTCCTATGTTAAACTAAGTCCCTCACTGGCGGCCATTTTGGATGATGGAACAGCTACAAAGTAACAACACTTGGTCAGCACCTTGTAAGGAACATTCATGCTATGTTTTGTTTCATTCCATTCAGTGGTTCTCTAAAAGAAGTCATTTGTATGCATTTCCCATAGGGTCCTATGTTAAACTAAGTCCTCCGCTGGCAGCCATCTTGGATGATGGATCGGCTACAAAGTAACAACACTTGGTCAGCACCTCCTAATGAACATTCATGCTATTTTTTGTTTCATTGCATTCAGTGGTTCTCTAAAAGAAGTCATTTGTATGCATTTCCCATAGGGTCCTATGTTAAACTAAGTCCCTCACTGGCGGCCATTTTGGATGATGGAACAGCTACAAAGTAACAACACTTGGTCAGCACCTTGTAAGGAACATTCATGCTATGTTTTGTTACATTCCATTCAGTGGTTCTCTAAAAGAAGTCATTTGTATGCATTTCCCATAGGGTCCTATGTTAAACTAAGTCCCCCGCTGGCGGCCATCTTGGATGATGGATCGGCTACAAAGTAACAACACTTGGTCAGCACCTCATAAGGAACATTCATGCCATGTTTGGTTTCATTCCATTCAGTGGTTCTCTAGAAGAAGTTCAAAATGTAAAAAGTTAACGCCGACGACGGACGACGGACGACGGACGCCAAGTGATGAGAAAAGCTCACTTGGCCCTTCGGGCCAGGTGAGCTAAAAAAGAGAAAATCATATAAAACTAAACTAAAGAAGAAAGCATGATGAATCAAATGCAATTCCTCCCCTTAAATTTCATTTCATATTGTTATGTATCTTTACTTTAAATCCAAAATTGGTAATCTATATCCACAAAATTAAGTCACTGTAAGTCATAGTCAGAAAATATTAAATTTTTGTAAGAGGCTGAGAAACCATGGAAAGGCGAGGTTTTAATGAGCAGGTAAAGATAAATGAGAATCAAGCACATTGGGAAAAGTGCTATTAAAAGCATGCAAGTTAAATGGTTAAAAACCTTAAATCAAGCAACTAATGAATATATATTAACAGATTTTCAGGTTCTAAAAATACTGAAATGTCTAGTAATTTGTACCAAAAACAGTTTTTATTAAAACTTACAATAGCAGGAAAATCCGTTTTACCATTGGTAACTTTGATGTGTTCTCCAATACAAAGCCTATAAAATAATAAAAGATAAACATTTGGTTATTTTTTTTTTTTTTTAGTTGTTTATCATGTCTCTCTAACATGTCTTATACAGAAATGTTTTTTTTTTAATTCTGTCGAAAAATATAGGCAGATCACCATTACATGTATGTCAGCTAGACTGATTTTTCGATATCATTTTTATCACTGAAACAACAAACAATCATTGAAATGTCTTACATTCATAATATAATTTCAGCCTCATATATAAATACAAAATTATAACACAACAACATTAACATGAGTAACATAACAGTTGCTTGATAAACAGCTGCGCTATAAGCGCATGATACGCCCGTCATCTTGTGAAAAAAATATAATAAATGTTTTTGGAATAACGCAGTGTTGTACAGAATGTCATGCTAAGTATAGCATGACTCATTCCTTATTCCCGTTCAATAGCAAGTTTATATACTACAAAAATTGCTAACAACATGTTTTACATGTTTTATAGATACCAAAAAACTCATTAAAAAAATCAATTATACAAAAATAAAATAAAGAATCATCACAAAAAAGTTTACGGATCTTAAGATCAACATAACTAACAAGTGTGTAAAGTTTTATGCAATAATCTTGAATAGTTATGAGATTCATATGATGCGACGTGAAAAAACACACCCCCCCTCCTTTTTTTCAAAAAAAATGTCAATAACTCGAAAATAAAATATTGAATCATCACCAAAAAGTAAACAGATCTTTAGATTAATATAACTAGTAAATGTGTAAAGTTTGAAGCAATAATCATAAATTGTTTTTGAGATACGGCGTGATATGTTGAAAAAACGGTCATTTGTATATCATATGTCACATGACGTAGAAAAAAAGATTGTCTTTACCTCATAATTTGGTTTTTATTCATGTTCTCTTCCTGTTTTTTTCCCTCCTTTTCATCATTCTTGTTCTCAGCAACTTTTTTTCCCTCCTTTCCTTCATTCTTGTTCTCTGCCTGTTTTTTTCCCTCCTTTCCTTCATTCTTGTTCTCTTCCTGTTTTTTTCCCTCCTCTCCTTCATGCTTGTTCTCTTCCAGTTTTTATCCCTCCTTTCCTTCATTCTTGTTCTCTGCCTGCCTGTTTTTTTTTCTCCTCTCCTTCATTCTTGTTCTGTTCCAGGTTTTTTCCCTCCTCTACTTCATGCTTGTTCTCTTCCAGTTTTTCCCCTCATTTCCTTCATTCTTGTTCTCTTCCAGTTTTTTTCCCTCCTTCCCTTCATTCTTGTTCTCTTCCAGGTTTTTTACCCTCCTTTCCTTCATTCTTGCTCTCTTCTGGTTTTTCTTCCTCCTTCCTTGTTCTAGAAAATAAAAAGTGTTACATTAAAGTATGTGTAATTTCCGACTGCTGTAATTGGTGTTGCATCTGCCTCCACATACATCCAAACATTACGATTTCTAAGATTTGTAGTATTTTGAAGATTTGGTGCTTTTTAAATGGTTTCTAGGTTAATTCTTTCTTCTATATTAATCTAGTAAAGTATGTATACATAATATTTTTACTTGTTTAAGTAATTTTTTTTTACTCAAAACTTATTCTTAAATAAGACGGAATTGAAATTTTGCCTTGATATGACTTGTCTATTTCAATAAGCCTGATCAAAGATATGCAATTTCAGACAAATGATATATTTTCATTATAATTTGAAATAATGAGTGTAGATAATATCATTTAAATGCACAAGACTATTCAAACATTTTAATTGACCTGAAAAACTTGTAAAGTTACATACATAATATTTTTACTTGTTTAAGTAATTTTTTTTTACTCAAAACTTATTCTTAAATAAGACGGAATTGTAATTTTGCCTTGATATGACTTGTCTATTTTAAATAAGCCTGATCAAAGATATGCAATTTCAGAAAAATGATATATTTTAATTTTATTTTGAAATAATGAGTGTAGACAATACCATTTAAATGCACAAGACTATTTAAAAATTTTAATTGACCTGAAAAACTTGTAAAGTTACATACATAATATTTTTACTTGTTTAAGTAATTTTTTTTAACTCAAAACTTATTCTTAAATAAGAAAGACAGTATTGTAATTTTGCCTTCATATGCCTTGTCTATATCAATTAGCCTGATCAAAGATATGCAATTTCAGACAAATGATATATTTTCATTTTATTTTGAAATAATGAGTGTAGACAATACCATTTACATGCACTAGACTCTTTAAAAATTTTAATTGACCTGAAAAACTTGTAAAGTTACATACATAATATTTTTACTTGTTTAAGTAATTTTTTTTTACTCAAAACTTGTTCATAAATAAGACGGAATTGTAATTTTGCCTTGATATGACTTGTCTATTTCAATAAGCCTGATCAAAGATATGCAATTTCAGAAAAATGATATATTTCAATTTTATTTTGAAATAATGAGTGTAGACAATACCATTTAAATGCACAAGACTATTTAAAAATTTTAATTTACCTGAAAAACTTGTAAAGTTACATACATAATATTTTTACTCAAAACTTATTCTTAAATAAGACGGAATTGTAATTTTGCCTTGATATGACTTGTCTATTTCAATCAGCTTGATCAAAGATATGCAATTTCAGAAAAATGATATATTTCAATTTTATTTTGAAATAATGAGTGTAGACAATACCATTTAAATGCACAAGACTATTTAAAAATTTTAATTGACCTGAAAAACTTGTAAAGTTACATACATAATATTTTTACTTGTTTAAGTAATTTTTTTTTACTCAAAACTTATTCTTAAATAAGACGGAATTGTAATTTTGCCTTGATATGACTTGTCTATTTCAATAAGCCTGATCAAAGATATGCAATTTCAGAAAAATGATATATTTCAATTTTATTTTGAAATAATGAGTGTAGACAATACCATTTAAATGCACAAGACTATTTAAAAAATTTAATTGACCTGAAAAACTTGTAAAGTTACATACATAATATTTTTACTTGTTTAAGTAATTTTTTTTTACTCAAAACTTATTCTTAAATAAGAACGACGGAATTGTAATTTTGCCTTGATATGACTTGTCTATTTCAATAAGCCTGATCAAAGATATGCAATTTCAGAAAAATGATATATTTTAATTCTAATTTGAAATAATGAGTGTAGATAATATCATTTAAATGCACAAGACTATTTAAAAATTTTAATTTACCTGAAAAACTTGTAAAGTTACATACATAATATTTTTACTTGTTTAAGTAATTTTTTTTTACTCAAAACTTATTCTTAAATAAGAAACCCAGTATTGTAATTTTGCCTTCATATGACTTGTCTATATCAATAAACCTGATCAAAGATATGCAATTTCAGAAAAATGATATATCTTTATAATTTGAAATAATGAGTATAGACAATACCATTTAAATGCACAAGATTATTTAAACATTTTAATTGACCTGAAAAACTTGTAAAGTTACATACATAATATTTTTACTTGTTTAGGTAATTTTTTTTTTACTCAAATTTTATTCTTACATATATATAAGAGAGACAGGAGTTGGTTTCATAAAAAAACTTACGACAAAGATTGATCGTAAATAATGAACAATTCAGTATTCTTAAGATCAATCTTAATCGTAAGTTTTTTTGTGAATCCAACTCCAGTATTGTAATTTTGACTTCATATGACTTGTCTATTTCAATTAGCCTGATCAAAGATTGCAAATTTCAGAAAAATGATATATTTTAATTCTAATTTGAAATAATGAGTGTAGATAATATCATTTAAATGCACAAGACTATTTAAACATTTTAATTGACCTGAAAAACCTGTAAAGTTACATACATAATATTTTTACTTGATTAAGTAAATTTTTTTTACGCAAACTTATTATTAAATAAGAAAGACAGTCATGACAGTATTGTAATTTTGCCTTCATATGACTTGTCTATTTCAATTAGCCTGATCAAAGATATGCAATTTCAGAAAAATGATATATTTTCATTTTATTTTGAAATAATGAGTGTAGACAATACCATTTAAATGCATAAGACTATTTAAAAATTTTAATTGACCTGAAAAACTCTTAAAGTTACATACACAATATTTTTACTTGTTTAAGTAATTTTTTTTTTTTTTACTTAAAACTTATTCTTAAATAAAAAAAGACAGTATTGTAATTTTGCCTTCATATTACTGAGAAATGCAATAACCTGATCAGTGATTTCTGATTTCATAAAAATGTGTTATTCATTAGCAATTGGTGTGGATAAATTTGGCAGGGGTGTGCCATTTTTGCCTGAAAAAAGGTACCCATATAAAAAAAAAAGATATGGCGTGATTGCCAATTCGAAAACTCTTCACAAGAAACCAAATAACACAGAAATTAACAACTATAGTTCACCGTAAGTCCTTCAACAATGTGAGAAGCCCATAACGCATAGTCATCTATAAAGGGCCCTGACATGACAAATGTAAAACAATTCAAACGTACCGCCTAATTAATGTACAAAAAATTTTAACGAAAAACAAATATGTAACACAGCAACATACGACAACCACTGAATTACAAACTCCTGACTTCGGACAGGCACATTACATAATGTGGCGGGGTTAAACATGTTAGCTGGATTCCAATCTAGCCTAACCTTGGACAGTGGTGTAACAGTAAAACATAAGAACGAACTATAAAATCAGTTGAAAAAGGCTTTTTTTTTTAAGCCAAATATCAAAACTGTGCCCAGGCCTATTTAGTTGTAGAGAAAAGTGTGATATTTTTTTTTTTGTATAATGTCCATTTAAAAAAACTATAAATAAGAAGATGTGGTATGAGTACCAATGAGACACTCCATCCACGTAACAATGTATTTAACAATGTTTAAAGTGAACATTTATAGGTTAAAGTACGCCTTCAGCACAGAGCCTTCGCTCACATGTGACCAGCAAGCTATAAAAGGTCCCAATATCATGAATATGACTAGTGTAAAGCAATTCAAACAGGAAAACCAACTGTCAAAACTTACATGTATTACTAAACAAGTAACGTCTATATATAAAACACACTTACATATGACAACCACTGAACAACAGCATGAACAGGCTCCTGACTTAGGACAGGTGCATATTTAAAAATTTACAATGTGATGATACATGTTTGTTTTTTAAATCTTTTGTGGATAAGAAATCAAAGTAATTTTTAAAGTTTAAAATCATGAATCATCAAGTTACACAAGCTAATACAAGAAAAAGCTGAAAGCAGCCTGTTTTTATACGACCGCAAAAAATTTTTTGTGGTCGTATATTGGTATGAAGTTGGCGTCGTCGTCTGAAGACACATTAGTTTTCGCACTCTAACTTTAGTTTAAGTGAATGGATCTCAATGAAATTTTACCATAAGGTTCATTACCACAAAAGGAAGGTGGGGATTGATTTTGGGGGTTAAGGTACCCACAGTTAAGGAATTAGGGGCCAAAAATAAGCATTTTTGTAACTTCCAGACATAACTTGTGTGTAAGTATGGATCTCTCTGACATTGTACTAAAAGGTTCCGTATCACAAACGGAATGCTGGGATTGATTTTGGGGGTAATTGCCTCCAAATTTCAGGAATTAGGGGCAAAAAACAAGCATTTTTCTAGTTTCATGACAATAACTTGTGTGTAAGTGTATGGATCTCTCTGACATTGTATCACAAGGTTCCATATCACAAAGGGAATGCTGGGATTGATTTTGAGGGTAATTGTCTCCAAATTTTAGTAACTAGGGGCAAAAAACAAGCATTTTTCTAGTTTCATGACAATTACTTGTGTGTAAGTGTATGGATCTTTATGAAATTGTTCTACAACGTTCCATATCACAAAGGGAAAGCTAGAATTGAGTTTGGGGGTAATTGCCCAAAAAGTTTAGGAATTTGGGGCAAAAAAAGGGCCAAAAATAAGCATTTTTCTAGTTTCCAGACAATAACTTGTGTTCAAATGTATGGATCTCTCTGAAACTGTACTGAAGGTACCATACCGAAAAGGGAAGGCTGGGATTGATTTTGGGGGTAATTCCCTCAAAAATTTTAGAAATTAGGGGCCATAAAAGGGCAAAAACAAGCATTTTTCTAGTTTCAGGACAATAACTTGTGTGTAAGTGTATAGATCTTTATGAAATTGTACTGCAAGGTTCCATATAACAAAGGGAAAGCTGGGTTTGAGTTTGGGGATAATTGCCCTAAACGTTCAGGAATTTGGGGCCAAAAAACAAGCATTTTTCTAGTTTCCAGACAATAACTTATGTTCAAGTGTATGGATCTCTCTGAAATTGTACTGCAAGGTACCATACATGTACCACAAAGGGAAAGCTGGGATTGAGTTTGGG